GAGGCAGAAGACGCAGCTGCACCCCTCTGGGAGGCTATGCCAAGACTGGAATAGAAAGTAAATCGTAATTCAGCATCACTGAAGATAACCTCTCTGAGCTGTTTCCTCATCTGCAAAACAGAGCTAGCCTTTATCGCATGTGATTTTAGTACGTATTAAATGAGATTTGTTTTATAAAGTGTCTGACACTACTCTGTAGATACTCAATAAATGGTAATTATTATTAAAACGCACACACATACCCCCACAGAGGAGATGTCACAGAGCAGACTAGGCCTAATGCCAAAGTTATGGATAAGCAATAAGGGGACAGGGTTCAGGGGGAGAAAGTAAATGCCATGGGCTGGAGTGGGCTGGGAAGACCCCCCAAAAGGAGAGGAAACTGAACAGCCCTGAAAGCTGCTACAATGAGCTGGGCATTCCCACATTCAATCTCTACCTGGATCTTAGAAGGCAGAGACAGTATCTTCACTTTACTGATGAGGCAAGTCACATTCAGAGAAATGAGGTGCATGAACCCCAAGGTTCATTGACACACAGGTACCAAGAGGCAGTGTCAGGGGCAGAACCCAGGGTTTCTGATGACGTCTTTCTTTTATGAGCTGGATAGGGTGGGGCTCGCTGGGACCCAGAGGAAACGCGAGCCTCATGGGTGCTCAGCTGAATGAAGTCCAGGCCATCTGACCAACTTATGCCCTTGAAGAGCCCCGGTGCTCCGGGAGACACAGGTCCTACCTGAAGCCATCCTCCCCCTCGGCCTCCCAAAGTGCTGAGATTACAGGCATGAACAACCACAGCTGGCCTTTACCTGGGCTTCTAGAGACAGTTTCAAGGTGACCTTTAAGGTGTTTGCTCATCTCTTTTGAGAAGTGGGAGAGTTCTAGTATCATTTTTACAGGAAACTAGTTGCTGGGTCTGATATTCACATATGTGAAGTGAGCAGTGACCCCACCTCCTCTATTCATAGACTCGTTCTAAGGAGGAGATGGCAGGATATGCCTTGCAAAAAGCAAAAGGGGAAAAAAAAAAAAAGCTATAGGATATAAAGGGACAAAAGAAGCCTTTTTTGTCCCCAGTCAGGAGACAAGATGAATACCTGCTTTATGGGCTCCCGGGCCTCTGCCAGCCATTCTGGGTCAGAAATATGGGTAAATAAACACAAGGGATGCCAGTGGTGAGCTGGGTTACAGTGAGGTAGTCCCCTGGAGCAAGCACTGGACTGGGAGTCAGGTGAACTGGAAACAAAGCAGAATTCATGCAGAGTCCAAACCACAATGAGGGGTGGGGGTGGGGAATGGACCTAATCCTAAGGCTTAGGGTGATTCTTACAGTTCTCCCAATAGCCTGAATCCCCCTCACGCCACTAGCCCCTCCCGGCCAAGGAAAAGGCAATAATTCCTAACTGTCGCAGAGAGAAAAAAGACCCAAAGAAGGGAAGTGACTTGCCTAATGTCACCCACTGAGTCAGAGGCAGAATAGAACCTAGAAGCATCTACTCTAGAACTTCAGCTCCCACCCTACCCCTCCCACACCAGTCTCTGCAGGAATCTACCTGAGGCTCTGCTCCATGATTAGGATAGGAAGAAATGCACAAAGCACTTTCTGTTCTTAAAAGAGGGGTACCTTTCAAGGGAAGCAGCTGCCAACATGACAGAATGAGGGCTCCAACGTAACTACTACCCACGCTGGTATGTTGAGAAGAGGCAAGACCCCAAAATAAGCTCCTGGGCTCTTGGGTAGCTGAAAGTGCAGAGGAAGCATGACCTCAACCCCCCAACTCTGCCCTCTAAGGCAACTGGTGCCATCTCCCCTCCCCCTCCACAACAGCTCTGGAGGCAGCCCAAGTGAATGGAAGAATAGGACACACCCAAAACCCAGACACTTTAAGGAAGGACATTTGGTGGCAGCCTAGGTTTGAGAGATTTGTTTTTGTTTTTTGAGACAGAGTCTTGCTCTCTTGCGCTGGCTAGAGTGCTGTGGCGTCAGCCTAGCTCACAGCAACCTCAAACTCCTGGGCTCAAGCGATCCTCCTGCCTCAGCCTCCCAAGTAGCTGGGAGTACAGGCATGTACCACCATGTCCGGCTAATTTCTTTCTATTTTTAGTAGAGACGGGGTCTCACTCCTGCTCAGGCTGGTCTCGAACTCCTGACCTCAAGTGATCCTTCCACCTTGGCCTCCCAGAGTGCTAGGATTACAGGCATGAGCCACCAGGCCAGTTTGAGAGATCTGTAATCCCCCAGCCTTAGAGGAAGACTGTAGAAGGCTGAGGTAGGGATGCATTTGTCTTAGGTGGTTAAAATACTAACAGAGGCAACTACCACTCACTGAGACCTTCCTGTATATACAAAATCAGCTTTATATGGTTGTTTTTTGTTTGTTTGTTTGTTTGTTTTGAGACAGGGTCTCATTCTGTTGCCCAGGCTAGAGTGCAGTGGCTCGATCATAGCTCACTGCAACTTCCAACTCCTGGGCTCAAGCAATCCTCCAGCTTCGGCCTCCCAAGGAGCTGGAACTACAGGCCTGTGCCACTGCACCCAGACTACATGCATTCATTTATGTCATTGTCACATCAGCAGCACTATAGCTAGATACTATTATTTCCCTTTTTTCCCCTTAATCTGTAAGATCTGCTGCTATATTTCCCATTTTATACATTAGGAAATAGGATCAGAGAGGGTAAGTGGCACAGCAGTAGCTGAATTCTACACTAAAACTTCAATTCTACACTTGCAAAGGTGAAAGGGAAAAAAAAAAATGGGCTTTCACTCTTGCCACCTGAACAGGGACCCTTGAGATCTTTTGGCCACCTTTCTCTCCATTCTCTTTCCCCAGCATGGCCAGAGGCTAGGGCTCCTCTATTTTCAGAGGCAGAAAAATGCCTTTCCAAGTCAGAGACACAGACTTCTGGAATTGCAAAGGAGATCACATCCAGCCTCAGGAAAAACTGAGGCCCAAGGCTGAGTGACTTGCCAGGGTTTCCAGAGTCAATGCAATGGTAGAAACATCAGACCTGGAAGGGATCACAAAGATCAACTGATGGATAGGGAGGCATGACTGGCCCAAGGTCACAGGGGGAGATGGGGTGAGAAGCCAGGTTTCCTGACTTCTAGACTGATATCTTTGCCATGGCACCATCTCTGCTCCCCAGCTGTCCATGGTCTTGGGCACAGCACTCAGGTGGTGACAAAGCAGGCCAAGACTGACCCCGTTAGGACTAGCAGTATCATGCCTGCAGGGACAAACTTCTGACTGCCCAGAGTAGGGTCTGTGGTCATGCTGTCAATGCACTGCAGGCATTGAGACCTGCAGTGTGTGCCCGCCAGCCCAGTGCCCTAATACAATGCCAGGTGTGGTTGGGAGGTGAAGGTGTTGGAGAGAGGAGGCAATTTATAGACAGCACTTGTGAGCTCTCTTCCTGGTCTCACAGAGTCAAATGACACATCACGGTCACTTCAGTTTCTTACAACAAATTAAGACACGAGGTTTCATGACTCAATTGGTATGGTCAAACTGAGATTTCACAGGTGAAGGAGACCTACAAAAAAAAGGCCCCAGCTGTTCAAGGTCATGTATTTATGTCAGAATCAGTACATATGGTTCCACTTGTCCAGTCCTTGATTTTTTTTCTGGGAAGCTGGCTGCCAAAAGGGTGTAGGTGCTGAGGCCCAGCTCCATGTAAAGCTCTGCCACTGGGACCGGCTCAGCACCAAAGTCCCACGCCAGGAAACCAGCTCCTGGATCTATCAAATCAAAGGCACCAGTGCCCTCCTGCAGCATGTCCCAGAGCCTGCCTCACACCAGCCTGGTATCGCCACTCAGCTCCTGCATGTCCTTGAAAGAGCTGCAAGGCTTCCTGCCAAGAGTCTCAAACTCCCCAAACCCAAATCTAAAGCAAAGGGGACAGAGAAGTCCCGGGACCTCATGCCTTCAACAGCTAGCTGGGGGCAGGCTAAAAAAGCATAGGCAGTTTTCAAAGCCCCCTGGACACCACTTCCAGGGACATCTGAGCTCTGGAGGCTCCAGTGAGTTCCACCAATAATCCAACAGAACAGGGTGCTCAGGCCCCCCAGGGAGAAAAACCCTCTGGGAGGGTAAATTTTTTCTGTTTCCTTCTCCCAAAAAGAATGTTTCAAAGTCTCTTCAGACCAGAACACCCCTAGCCCCTCCCCCTGTAGCTCGCCTACTTGACTGAGCAGCAGGCCAAGGTGTCTGGTTGACCCAGACAGCACCTTGAGACACAGCTGGGTGCCAACCTGGGGGTGAGCTGGGGTCAAACCAAGCCTCCACCTCCTCCTCTCTCCCTCCACCTCCTCCTCTCTCCCTCCACCCCCAAAGCAGACTTCAGAAATTGCCAGGGCCCCCTGTCCCATAGACTATAAAGGCTGGCATTCCTGGGCCGGAAACTGACTCAGGGGCTCCTAACCAGCCTGAGCAGGCAAAGCTGACAGATAACACTCTGGGGATGAAGGAAGGTAAGAATATGGGGATCCCTCGTGTTTCACCACATTGTAAATTTCCTATGTCCAGGTCCCTGCTATACTTAAACTTCTCGAACAGGCCAAGTAGAAATATACTCCATCCTGGAACACCCTCCCATTGAACTTGTAATAAATTGTACTGGTTGCTGTTGACAGAGCAGCATGTGCCACTTGCCAGAAGATACTCCTCTCTGTCTCACTCTCAGCTGGGTGCCTGGCACCCCTCAGGGTCTGGCCCAGCCAGAGGTGACTTGCCAGGCCTGGAAGCCCTGCTGAAGGTACTCAGTATCAGAAGCATCCCATTCTCTAATCCTTCTCTCTCCTGTGAACAATGTTGGCACCAATCTTGGAAGGCTTCAGACCACAGGTGGAGTTTGAGGAGGACCAAGATGGCAGGATGGAGCCTGCCTACGTTATAGTAGTTCAGACCCTTATTCCTAGGCAGTCTCAAATGGTAAGAGATGGGGCAAGAAGCTCACCAGTCTGGTGGCAATGGTAGCAGCAGAGCAAATTGGACTTACCTATCTTCATAAGGCAGGCCAGCAGGATCCAGAGGGAGATCTCGAAGGGTGTGCGCACATGTGTGTAGTCGATGCCCAGGACTGGAAAGGCCTTTCTCGGCTTCATGTCATGGTCAGTGACGGAATGGTTAACAGGGCGGCTCTCTGGGGTGATCTCCGGTGGAGCAGTGGTGACATCCCCAATGGAGCGTTCCCGGGGTGGTTCTGAGCCTCGGATGGTGCTGGCAGTAGGGCTGGGCTGGAGGCCATGGCTGCTGAGAACAGGTAGCAGCCCCACCAAGGCTACCGCCACAAGTAAGGAAGGAAAGATTCGAGGTGGAGAGAGGCCACAGATGCCAGACCACAGATGCATCATGCTGCTTCCCCAGCCCAGCAGGCCTCAACCCTTAGATAAGTGAGAGCAAAACCTGGCACATAGGTAGCAAGGGAGTCAGCAAGTGGGAAGAGAGACTGGAGTAGTCTCTAGAAAAAGTTCATGTTTTAGAGAGGTATTTTCGTGGAAGCACTCCCCTGGGGGTGGAGGGAGGCTGGGTTCGCAATCTGGAACTCCAAACTAGGGAAGAGGGACAAGGATCCAGGTAGGACCACGGGAGACGAAAGGTATGGAACTCCAGGCCTGGGAGAGGGGAAGAGGGGAAGAGTGAGCCCTGCGGACAGAGGAAGGGACAGGATAGGCAGGACCCCGGCCAAGGGAAAGGAAGAGCAAAGGCTGGGACCTTTGGCGGAGGAAAGTGAGTGAGGAGCTTGGGACTGTGGGCTGAGGGAAGGGGTCGGGAGCCTGAGCTAAAGGAAGGGGACCGACGGGGGTGAGACCCGGTCCAGGAAAAGGAGAGAGGAGGCTGGGAGCCCAGTCTGCGAGGAAGGAGTGAAGCCGGAAAGCGGCCGAGAGCTTTCCCACCCAGAGAAGGGCCGGGGTCCAGGCGCGCCGGGCTTAGATTCCGGGGAAATGGAGGGAGGCGGAAGGCGGAGGCAGGCGGCCTGGCGGGAAGGCGCCTGGGCGCGGGCTGGGGGCGGCTCGCGGTGGGCCAACAGCAACACGCCCCTCCTTGTGGCCCCGGCGCGGCGCTGCGCTCCGCCCCGGCCCAGCTGCAGCTCCAGCACGTCCAGCTCCAGACCCTGCCCTCGCCCCGGCGGCAGCGCACTGATGCCTGCCTGAGCCCGGCGCGGCCACTTATAGGCACCAGCGAGCAGCCGGCGCGCAGGCTAGAGCGACCTGTCAGCGCCCGCGCAGTGCAGCGGCCCCTGTCGCCAAGGGAAGGAAGTACCGCGTAAGAAGAGGAAGAAGAGCCAGAGATGGCATAAAAAAAAAAGAAAAAAAAAAAGTCCTGAATCTACAGAGATTCCAACTAACGTGGGTAAAATGCTGTACTATTTACAAAGTGTTTTCACTTCACATCCACAGCTGCAGTCTCATGAAGGCTTTCCAGTAACCTGTGAAAGATATCTTATGTTTTCAGTTACCATGTGACCTTGAGCAAGTTACTTAACGTCTCTGTTTCACAGCTTCCTCATCCGTAAAGTGGAGATAGCAGAAGTACCTATATCAGAGGACTAATGTGATGACAAAGAGACACTCCATGTAAAGTGTTTAGAACGCACTCTGGCACATTATTATGGTTTCAGTTTTACAGATGAAGACACAGATGAAGACAGTTCCTTAACTGGTATGTAAATAGTTGTGTTAGTTTACTAGGGCTGCTGTAACAAAGTTCCATAAACTAGGTGGGTGAAGCATCAGAAACTTATTGTCTCACAGTTCTGGAGGCTAGAGATCAGAACCTCTAGGTGTCGGCAGGGTTGGTTTCTGCTGAGGGCTGTGAGGGATAACATGTTCCATGCCCCGTCCTACCTTCAGGTGGTTTGCAGGCAATATCTGGTATTCCTTGGTTGTGACAGTATAGCTCCAATCTTCACATGGAATTGTCCCTGTGTCTCTTGTCTCTGAGTCCAGATTTCCCCTTTTTCTAAAGACACCAGTCAGATTGGATTAGGGGTCCACCCTGATGACTTCATCTCAACCTGATCATCTTCAAAGACCCTATCCAAATAAGTTCATATTCACGGGCACTAAGAGTTAGGACTTCAGTGTCTTTTAGGGAGACACAATTCAACCCACAACAGTGGTGGAAATGAGATTTGAAACTATGGTGTTGGATGGAATTGGTAGAGTTCAAGAGATCATGGCTATACACGGTAAAAATACCGTTTCCTGGGACCCACCTTCAGAGATTTAGATTCAGTTGCTTCAGGGGTGGATATTTTTTCAAAGGCTCTCATGCACAACTAGGGTTGAGAGCTATTGAAATTACTGAAGTGCTGTCCCTGTTTTGCAGAAGAGCAAATTAAGACCAAGAAAGTCAAAGTGACTAGCTCAAGATCACAAGTAATTTCACAGAGGTTTGGCTCAGTTTAACAAATATTTACTGGATCTCCTAACAAGGCTTTGTACTGTGCTCTGACAACACACAGATAAGCCATGAGGAGGACAGAGGTGACAGGAGGAAGGAGGGGGCACGAGGTGGGAACAATGAGGGCTTCTAGGGTGCGGATGATGTTCTATTTCTTTACTGGGTGGTAGTTACAAGGGTTATACAGATGTATTATAGTTATTTTGTGATAACTCATTGAGTACTCATGATGTGTGTTTTCTCTAGGTATGCTATCCTTCCACAGAAAAGTATATTAAAATAATAATGGCCAGGTGTGGTGGTGCACCTGTAGTCCCAGCTACTCAGCAGGCTGAGGCAGGAGGATCATTTGAGCCTAGGAGTTTGGTGCTAAGTGTGTTATGATCGTGGCTGTGAAATAGCCATTGCAGTCCAGCCTGGGCAACATACCAAGACCCTGTCTCTAAAAGTAAATAAATAAATATAAATAAATAATAGAGTGATATTATCCTAACTGAGGGTGGCAACATTAAACTGAGTTCTCTGTACCTCACAGTCTCCAGGCACAGGTCCAGCCACCTGGAAGATGACAAAAAAGCCTGGAAGAGCCTTCAGAGAAGTCCAGGGGCCTTGTGTCATCTAGAAGCAGATGAAAGCAGAACATCAGCTATAATAGAAATAACCAAAAAGAAGAATAGCATTTAGAGCAAGGATCAGAATAATGGCAATAATGCCTCCCAACTGTTCAGCTCTCTATAGTTCACAGCCAATTGCCCAGGTTTAACAACGTTCCAAGTCCTGCTGCACAGGACTTGGAGTAGCTACCATTCTCATTCCCATTTACATGTGAAAAGACCAAGGCTCTGAGATACAAAGCCATTTGTCCAAGGTTACACAGCTATTAGCAAGCAGATCCAGGACTTAAGTCAGGTTTGTAACACCTGAGTCCAGCACTCTTTCAAAACACCACAGGTTCAGTGTAAAAAGAAGAAAAGAGGGAAAGGGTGGAGCTGGTGAAGGGACTTTCCACAGATGCCCCCAGGCCGGAACCCCAAGACCTATAGTCCTTTCCAGTCTTGAAGGCAGCACTCACTGGTGTGCTCTGATCCTCCACACTCTCTGACTCTCCCCCACTCCCATCCTCAGTGAGTCTTTGGGTGCCAGCCCAGACTCTGGTGCCAGCCCAGTCTTTGGGTGCCAGCAGATCCCAGGAAGGCCAAGAAATGTCAGCCCTGAGATCCTCCATGGCCTGAAGAAGGTTACAACATGACAATACCAGGAAAGAGTCCTTGGTAGAAACCACCTGGGAGAGCCTGTGGCCAAGGCCCAGCCCTGGGGAGGCAGTGAAGAATAATAGCTAAATACAGGGGCTGCCTAACGTGGATAGCCACATTGTCTAGGTTCAAATCCCAGGACCCGCCACTCACAAATTATAAGACCTTGGGTAAGTCAGTCCCTGTTCTGCAGTTTCTCCCTCCATAATGGGGGGCAACAATAGTGCCAATCCCACCTGCTGTCATGAAGATATTAGCCACTGTACATGAAGCACTTAGAGTAGCACCCAGCAAGCACCACACATATTCACCATCACTATCTTTATTGACATGTACCAAGGACCTCAAGTGTAGGCTTTTGATGTTAGGACCACATGAATTACACACTCAGTCACAGAGACAATTGACAGTCTTAGGAAGAAGACCCCAACATTTGTGAGATGGGTCTCAGTATCAGACCATATCACCTGTGGCATGCTATGAATTTTAACATTTTTAAATAAATCATATTACTGTGTATTGTGTGTGTTAAAAGCATCACCTTGCTAAAGGTAATCAGTTAAAATATACTGCAATATTTGTAACATTGTTTGAGCAAGTCCTCATTTTTTAATCATTCCAGGCTCACACTGCTCTCGACTCGGAGAGGCCGTGTCTCTGCAGACCTTTCCCGAGGATGCAGGACAGCCTGAGGATGCCCGGGCCCTGCGTGGCATCTCCCTCTACCCAAGTCATATCTGCTTCCTGATCCCCTCATTGAATCCTTTCACTAAAAGTGCTGGGAATTTCATGGAATTGTTATAGCTATGACATCAACAGATATGTGGCACATAATGCATGGCACTAGGGAAGGACCCGCTCAGCCACTTATTAGCTGTGCATGACAGGCAAGTCACATTTTGTTTCTGTCCCTCACTTTCTTCATGTATATGAAAGATGGGTGGGGTCACATTACCTGCCTTGTAAGGTTATTGCAAGGATGAAAAGGTCAGTATATGTCAAGCACAATTCCTGGCGCATACTCAGCACTCAGTTAATTTCCCTCATTCTTTTGTCATAATGTTACAGCCTGGCAAGGCCTTCTTCCTGTCTCCCCTTCATTCACCCCATGCAACCATACTGCTTCCTTGATATGTCTCCAACACTGCCAGGCACACTCCTGCTGCAGGGCCCTAGCACCTGCTATTCCTTCTGCCTGGAACACTCTTCCCCAAATGTCCACTCAGCTCACTCCCTTACCTCCTTCAAGCCTTTCCCCGAATCTCCCTTCCTGATATAGCCTACTACGTGGTAACCCTATTTAATAGTGATGCTTGCCCTGCCTGATCACCACTACTACCACCCTTCCCAGCTACTTACCCTGCTTCTTTTTTCCATGTACAGTATAATTTGTCTATTTAGTGCCTTTATTCTTTTTTTTTTTTTTTTTTTGAGACAGAGTTTTACTCCGTTGCCCAGGCTAGAGTGCCATGGTATCAGCCTAGCTCACAGCAACCTCAAACTCCTGGGCTCAAGCAGTCCTTCTGCCTCAGCCTCCGAGTAGCTGGGACTACAGGTTGTACCACCATACCTGGCTAATTCTTTCTATTTTAGTAGAGATGGGGTCTCGCGCTTGCTGAGGCTGGTCTCGAACTCCTGACCTCAAGTGATCCTCCCGCCTCGGCCTCCCAGAGTGCTATAGTGCCTTTTTTCTTTACCGCAGTTTTCTACCTCCAGGATGTGAGCTCCAGGAAGGCAGGGGCTATGTCTGTCTCATCCGTCACTGCTTCCCCACCACCTAGAACAATGCCCAGTGCATAAAGGCACTCAATAAATATTTATCGAATGAACCAATGAGTCACAGGATGCATTATTTGCACATGAGCAAACCAAGGCTCCAGGAGGAAAATCTCTTGTCTGAGGCCATAGAGCTGGCAAGAAGTGGACCCAAGTTTGGATCTGGGTCTGTCTGACTCTGAAGTCCAAGCTTTTCCCACATCCTCAGGCTGCTAGCTACCATAACAAAAACATGCACACCCTGGGCAACTAGAAGAGAGTTTGGAAGATGGTAAGGCGTTAGAATTTTTGTGAGTTTTTTTTTGTTTTTTTTTTTGAGACAGAGTCTCACTGTGTTGCCCGGGCTAGAGTGCTGTGGCATCAGCCTAGCTCACAGCAAGCTCAAACTCCTGGGCTCAAGCAACCCTTCTGCCTCAGCCTCCCAAGTAGCTGGGACTACAGACGTGCACCACCACACCTGGCTAATTTTTTCTATATATTTTTAGTTGTCC